TTATTATCACATGCATTCCCAACAGCATCCTTAGTATAAAGCATTACTACAATAATTACACAATAACCCTCCATGGTAGACATTATTTTCCCCATTGAAGGGTGCAGGAAGTGACCAGAGGGGCGGCTCCCAAAATGGCGCCTACACACCAGACAACAAAGGCCCTCGGTCCCAGCTTCTGCGAGCACAACTCCCCACGTGCGAATTTCAAACCTTCCTGCTGGCAAATTTCAAACTTGCAAGCCTCCAATCAGTAGCCAGCTTTGTTATGCATCCAATAGGACCATAACACGGCGTTGGCCCCACCCTGCTCCCATGTAGCTCCTCCAATAGGAACATAGCACGGCCCCTTCCGGCCCCTGTCAGGCTGATAAATACAGCCCTCTCCCGCACCTCTCTCTGTCTGTCTTTCTCTCTTTCTCTGTCGCTCTCTCCCTCTCTGCAGCTCTCTCCCCACCTCTCTCCCACTTCCTCTGTCTCTCTTACTCTCTCTTTCTCTCTCTTTTTTTCTGTTTTCCCGTTACAGATCCCCCTGTAACAGCCCCTTTTAATAAATCTCTTGGTCCTGGCTGGGTGTGGAGTCATTACTGGCACCGAACTTCTTTCACCCATTGTACAGATAATGATGACTAAAGGGGGTTAAATAGTGCACACAAAGTTATATCGGTAGTTATGGGATAGGCAGGAGCTGAAGGCATGTCAATCACTTTCCTTTCCCTACATCCACTGCCTCTCAAAAGCTGCTCCATCTCTGAAATCTACAGTACCTGCCCCTCCCATCTCAGCTTACTCCCCTCTGCCTTTCTTCTCCAGGTACACTCTTTTTTTTATGAGTTGGAGTCTCACTCTGTCACCCAGGCTGGAGTGCAGTGGCACACTCATGGTCACTGCAGCCTTGACCTGCTGGGCTCGGGCGATCCTTCCATCTCAGCCTTCCAAGTAGCTAGAACTACAGGTGCATGCTACCACACCTGGCTTATTTTTTGATTTAGTATAGAGACAAGATCTCACCAAATTGCCCAGGCTTGTCTCAAACCCCTGCACTTAGGCAATCCTCTCTCCACAGCCTCCCAAACTGCTGAGATTACAGGCTTGAGCCCCCACACCTGGTCGTCCAGGTACACTCTCAGCAATCCTTCCCAAGGTTTAGTCTGCTCCATTACTAACTGTGGGATCTCTTCTTCCTCTGAACTTTTTAGGTCCATATTCATTTGTTCACTTGTTCATATATCTATTGAATACCGAGTACATGCTAATCACCACAGCAGTGAACCAAATGAACAAGATTGTCACCCTCATAGATCTCCTTAGGGAGGGTCAAAAGACACACACGCAAAAAAATCAACAAATAATTTTTATTGGGGTAAATGTTATGTAGGAATAATAATAATAATTATTATTATATGATAGAATGGAAAAAACTTTTTAAATAGAATGATCAGAATGGTTTGATCTCCCTTGAAGAAGTAACATCTGAGTACCTGGGATGAGAATGAGTCAGCCATGTTTAAGACCAGAGAAAGAATATTTCAATGGTATAAAATAGCCAATGCAAAGACCCTGAGATGAGAAAGCTCTTGAAAGTTCTAGAAAGGGAAAAGCAACCTGTGTGGCTGGAGCATAGTGAAAGGGAGACTGACATGAAATGAAGGTGAAGAAAAGTGCAGAGCCAAAACACACAAGGCCT